GACTACAGTTGTTTGGCTCTGCAATTAGTTTCAACAAACCTGCACATTGACTTAAGATGTTATCTTCTCACCAATACATTTGCCTTATCATGTGACCAAGGAACATATAGAAAATTTTTCCTTGTAAGATGATGTTGTCATAACATGATTACACATAATAGGAGTCCCACTATAATAGCATCATGTAACTATATACTTTTTAGGTTTTGTATTATGGTTATGATTCTTTACATTTATCTTATGTTTACATATCTAACACCATCAGGTGTTTGAAGAAGTCCAGTTAAAAAGTTAAAATTCCTTTTGCATTGTTGAAACTCGAGCAGAAAAATTTCAATTTTATATTACTTTTAAGTTCTTCCATATTGGTTCCCTTATGTTGAATTTAGTTATTTATACAATTAAAAAAATCATATTGTGCTTGCTATCACTAAATAGATTCAGTGTCCGAGAAAAAAAAAAGAAATGAAGAAGAATATGGAAAAATGATCTTGGCTAAAGGGTACTAACAGGACAAGCTTTACAAAGAGTTTAATGGTAAGTTGTTTCTAGCATGCACAAGGAATCATCTATATGATTTTATTTTATGTTCTCTATAAATATGAAGGTGTTATGTAGTGGCTAAAGAATGATTTAGTTTTGATGATGTTTTGCCGCATCTCTTCATAAGTTGCCTCTATATTTAATGAAAACTCATTAGATGTTAAAGTATTTGTTAGAACATAAAACCATTGAACATTAACCCCTACGGTAGTGTTATTTTTCGTTTCTTCTAGGCTATTTCATATGTCTTTAAAATATTCCCTAAGTTCCAACAGTTGTAAGCTATTCGATTTGATAAATAAGAAAACGAAATAGAGATTTTAATGCATTTTATTCCTAAAAGAAGTTCTTTCAATTGTGACCATCTCTTCAAGTACTAATATTTGATCTCATGATAAATGAAAAGAACTAACAAAGAAATTCATTGTAGATGGTGTATTGCCGAAATAAAGATTGTAGGTAAAGTGACATACCGATTATACGAAAGCATTTACTAATTAAATATGACAAAATGAGGATAAAAATTGTAACACGATCAAAATGTAAGACACCATAAAGGAGGAAATCAACTCCAAATTTCCAGTTAGTAGGAAGATTCCTTGAAAGATATTTCAAGGGTTTGACGACTTCTTAAAATACCTACGTTATAATATATTAGGGGAAGAAGTAGTTTCTCCTTACCTCCTACAACTCAAAGTTACTTTGCAGTGTACTTCATATTTTTTATATTTTGAGCAATTAAAGTTCCTTTTATTATGAATAATGATTTGTGAAGTTTCTACATAAGAGAATTAAGTATAAATTATGTTCTCTGCTTTTTGGTTGTTATGACATTTTCAATTCGAATGTTTTCACAAGCAAGTTGCCAAATGTATTTACACAAATGGATCTGTGATTATGATTTCTGTGAAATGCATTTGCACTATTTATTTAATGAGACATTCACCGAGTCTTCTTCATAGTAGTATTTGATTTGAGTAATGTTAACACAATATTAAAGGAAGATGATAAGTTTATACTGTTAACGATTAAGGTTTGCTTAATTTTGCTTCAGGTTCTTTGTCAAAATCTTAGCTTGGGACAGCAATGCAGGGAGGACTTTTGAATGGATGGATTTTTCTTTGCATCAACTATAGAAGGTTTATTTAGTTTTTGAGTTCCTCTTTATTTAACTGAAACTACAGTGATTACAAAATCGTTTTTAATATGTTGTTATGTATTATGTAATGACAATTAAAATGTTTTTGATACAAGTGTAGATGAATAATGACACGGTAGACAAATCAAAACTCAAAAGTCATTTTTCAGCATTGGAAATTAACAAAAGTTCACAAACACACAAATATACGTGTTGGGCCCGTACTGGCACGGGCCATGCCCATCTAGTTAGTAAATATGGCCAACTTCGAGTGTTTGTTAAATTAATAAAAAAGGGACCCTACATATACCAGAAATGAGTTCACTTGATATTTTTTAGAGGAATTTTCACATATAGCCACTCAAAAATTGCTTAATTACTCTCCATAGTTATAGCTTGCTAATTACAATTCGTAGCTACATGTTATAGGGATGAGAGAGGCGAGCGAGACTGGAAGAGAGAGGAGAGAGGCAAGAGAGAGGGCAAAAGAGTGGGAGAAAGGTGAATTGTATACGTATATCGGTTAGATAATTGTATATTATACATATGTATTTGTATATATGGCAAGCGAGATTGGGAGACGGAGGAGAGAGGGCATAGAGTGGGAGAGAGGTGAATTGTATATGTATATCAGTTA